GTTCTGTTCTCCGTGACCTCATTTCCCTTCGCCATAACCTCAGGCCAAAGTTGGCAGTCTGAGCACTCTCAAGGACACAGCTTGTGGCGCTACATACACCGATACTCCCTCAGGTAAACAGGAGTATGTGCGGCGAGTATGTGGCCTTGAAGCTGTGGTGTGTTCAACTTTAAACAACTCCCTGCAATCAAATGTGCAAAGATTGAATGTAACACGCGGCCGTTCGGTGTGATATAGCTGGTGCATTTTAGCGATGTTTACCATGAAAATAACGTATGTGGCTTATTTCTCCCCCTGGTGTGAGTTTTTAGGTCCCGAAACCTACTAAAAAAAGCAGAAATTTGCCCACGAAAACGGACGGGCGAGGCGTGGGGAGGGCGCTGTTGACGCCTGCATCGAACCCCCAAAAGGTCGAAGGTCATGGGTAACGTCCGTTGTGCAATCTTAGCCGATTTAGCTTACACTACAACGCGAACCTGTCTATATTAGCAACCGCTAATATTTCTATCTAGTTTGGAAAGTCTTCTCGGGAGGCTTACCCCCCTAGACGTTGAATGGAAAGTACCACCTTGCGGTAGCAAATGATGTAATCCTTGGGGAATTCCAGGCAGTGGAAATCCCCCGGTTTCTGTAGCCGTGGTTTGCGCTAGGGGATCTCCGCATGGTCTGCTCTTAATAATCAGATTGTTGTCTTCCACCAGGTTTCTAGTGTGACTGTGAGTACATTTTATCTGAACAACTTTTTATTACCCATGTATAATTTACTTTGACGACGACGTACTGTATACTGTGATAGCGACGCCGGTCCATGACGAATGAAGCAAACATACCTGTTGACATATCAATACGTTATCCACTGACAGCTGTGACGCTTGATTTAAAATAACACAATTAATACAAGAATATGCAAACGTTATAATTTTTTAACACTCGTTACGAAAGAAAAAGACAAGAGAGTGGGTTTTCCGTCTGAAAGGAGATATATTTGTCCTATCCCGTTTCCCCGTGTTTAATTAAGTTTTTAACTCCCCTACCAAAATTGGTACAGCCCGCACGACTTCTGAGAAGCCAATTAGTAACAGATATACGGAAAAGAGGTCGTTTCCAGCGTTAGTCAATATGTTACACAGAAAGTTATAATTAGGACTTGAAATTTATTTTTTATTATTAGGTTGACTGATATAGCTGACCTAAAACTTTTAATAGATGTATAGAATATATAGCAGTACCTAGTTGCAAACTTTAATGTCTCTCTTCATTAAACTTTCAAATGCTGTTATACAACAAATGTTCCATTTTTCTGACAATAATAAACACTGAGTAGGTTTACTACCAGACTTAGATTACAACAGTACATTACCTTATATACATAAATACCCCACATTTGCTTGAGTCAATGATATATAATACTGTCGTCGTTATTTATTTATTTATTTATCTATTTATTCATTTAGTTTTTCTCCACAGATTTTGGTATCCCACCGTCCTAAATTTTCGTTGGAATGCTGCAGACTTGGTTACAGCTGTCTGATATGTCGACATATGCTGGAGTTTTCTGTGCCATCGTTTTGTTCTTGGCCGTGAGTGCCAAAAGCTGTGACCTGATTCCCACACTCGGGCCGCCATGGATGCACGATGTACGTATGCGTTGATTTAACGGTCAATGACCCGCCCGATGTGTAAACATTGACATAACGTCTGGTCAGTGATCTAGAACCACTGCCTTAGGCCGTGTTTATGTGAAGTCACCCAAACCGCGATTCGGGTAACTCTCATTCCTCACATCTGGTCCACGTGCCATACATTCTTTTTAAAATGTGCCCGATCAAAATTCTCCGAAACTACATTCATTGTTGTTTGATGAAAACACGCTAGGTAGCGTGTCATTATTGTCAGTGGTGAACGACCTGCTTGCTGATGCCCCCCTCCCAGCGTATCTAGGCCGAATGCCGACGTGGTCCCGTCAGAGGCGGTGAAGCTCGTCCTAGAACAGACACATTATTAGACCACTACTGCTCTTTCAGTTGCAGACACGTAAAATTGGTATTGCATATATTAAATAAAGGAATATCACCCCGTAATCCATGACCAAGTGAAGTTACATTGAAATCACATTGCGTTCAGACGCAAATCGCGATGCGGGAAAACCGATTCAAAACCACATCTAGAAGAGGTTTGGGATCAAGGCGCTTTCAATGTGATTTGGAGCGTTCAGATGAAGCCACTTGAAACCGGCTTCGGGGAAACCACATGTAAAGCGCCTTGGGTGACTTCACATAAACACGGCCTAAACCACCGCTCCGTGACCTAACTGAAGGCCTGAACGCCAGGTGTTATGTCACTGTAAACACCGAGAGAAGAGCGAGACATTCATCATCATGTTACATGTATTAAAATTAGCATAAAGTCAATTCAATCTGACATGGCATTGTTAATTAAAATGTAATTTCTTCATTATTATTGGCCAGTCATAAATCTTTGCCTTTCTTCTTCATTAACTCATGCTTGATCTTATTTATATATTATTACATGTCTAAGTCAGACTGCATGAAACATATAAACTACTTATCTACGATTTCATGTCATTCGTTTCCTTCTGTATTCAAAGATAGCATTCTTTTATCTTCCAATGTGTATACACAAACATCCATGTCTAATAACAACACAGGCGGAAGAGGACTTCATAGAAGACGTCTGTCGTAAAGCACTGTTTGGGAACACTTGCGAACCAGTAGAAATCAGTCCCTGGTCTACACACGTTACCGTGAGCCCCCTAGCAAATGGTACCCGAACTTCAGGTAAAGTATCACTGATTTCCTCAATATGGTATCGTTTTCTGTCAGCGACTAATGAAACACAGCGTTACAAATGATGTTATGGCGTGGCCTCGGATAATTTTTAACGTCTCCGAAATCTTATAAATTAGACACCAGCATGTTTACATGAGTAGCATGTAGCTCAAATATGTATCCCTTTTCTTTTATCAGAAGTATGGATTAAAAGACGATCTGCAGAGCTCCGACACATTGCTGGTTCCCTGATCCGGGCTCCGAAGTACTGGAAGCACTACAGAGGGACACACCTGCCTCAGCATAAAGGTCTACACCTGGTACACGTGACTCCAGAGGTAACAAAAGCCATCAAGTCTCTCGTAGAAAAGACATGGCGAGAAGATGCTGTAGGGATAGGCATTGATGCAGAAAAACTCAAACACAGAAAAATCGTCGTACATAACGTTCAAAGAATTGAAAACCCTCGCCTGTACTACAAATATGCCGCTCACCGACAGGAGTTCTGCTATAGAGCAGCCGAGGAGGGATTCTTCCGTCCCCCAGAACCTCCTATAGCTACAGGCGTTTTAAACACGCCGGTTTTAAACAATCTGTTGGTACCAGAAATCAACGAACATTTCCTGTTCCACGGAACAAAACCGGAAAGGGTGGAAGCGATTATAGCCGGAGGTCTTGACTTCCGGATGTCCGGACAGGGTATGTTTGGAAGGGGGATCTATTTGGCGGAAAACTCGACAAAGGCTGACCAATACACAGGTTAGTAGTGCTTTGGCTTAGCCTGGTGTCCAGCCTTGTTAGCTTTAGTCCGGACTAAAGCTAACAAGGCTGGACTCCAGGCTGGCTTTGGGTACCGTAGGTTTACTTCTTGATATCTTATAGATTATTCCCCCTGATTATGCAAATATGATCCTCATTTCCATGAATCATATCAGTTCATCATATTCTCCACCAAATGACAGTCCTGTCTTAACAGAGAATGCCATTGACATTGTAGCATTTCGTCATAAATTATGCAAATGGTCCTCATTTGAATAGGATATGTTTAATGATGTTCACCTTAACTTAACTTTCCAATACCCTAAGTATGGAATTCCAGGCAGTTCTACTGCTGAATTACAGCATTTTCTCATTAATTATGCAAATTAAGTCTTAATTTACATAATTGATATCTGCCTGTGTTGCATTCATTCGCAATTGCATATTCCACTAGCTTGAATAGTCCTATTATGTAATGCAACAGATTTAGAGAATATTCTCATAAATTTTGCAAATTACATCAGTATTCGCATAATTATCACATTATTATGTCAAGCCTCACTTGGTTTTAGATATGTCGTCCGTCATTGTCTCTTATTCTCTGTTTCTAATCTGGCTTTACTTTTTGTACCGATTATAAATTGTTTACTTACTTAGCGTAGTGGCTAGGTCGTATAAAGGTCTTATTGAGTTGATCTGACCGTCTTGTCTTTACTTATGTAGACTGGATCTGGCAAAGAGGAAAAGAAGAAGGAAGGAATGACACAAAGACGATGTTTTTAGTCCGAGTTACTCTCGGTCGTCTGTTTGTG